GAAATCTGCACTTCATCCCCGACACCCGCGCCTGCCACGAAATCAATAGTTTAAGGTGAACTCCCCTTTGCAAAACTTTCTAACCAAGCAAATATGCCTCCTCTATCTATCTAATCTAATCTAATCTATCTATCTATCTATTTATCTTTCTATCTTTCTATCTTTCTGCAGTTCAACATCCACAAAGTACTGCACCTGCCACGAAATCTGCACTTCAAGGTCCACAAAGTCTTGCGCCTGCCACGAAATCTGCACTCCAAGGCCCACAAAGTCCTGCACCTGCCACCAACTCTACACTTCCACACGCACAAAGTCCTGCATCTGCCACGAAATCTGCACTTCAAGGTCCACAAAGTCCTGCGCCTGCCACAAAATCTGCACTCCAAGGGCCACAAAGTACTACACCTGCCACGAAATCTGCACTTCAAGGCCCACAAAAAGTCCTGCGCCTGCCACAAACTCCGCACTCCAAGGCCCACAAAGTCCTGCACCTGCCACGAAATGTGCCTTGCAAGGTCCACAAAGTACTGCACCTGCCACGAAACACGAAAAACAAAACAAATCAAAAAAAACACGAAAAAAATTCCAGAAATAAATTTGCAACCATACTTCAGGGATCTTGAGGATTACTTTTGCTTAAGCTGGACAATCCAGTGCTGTTGTGTTTAGCTAGGGCCTGGGTGTGAAGTATGGTTTCCCTCAAAGTCTAGGAATATCATGAACATCAAGGAACCAAATCAATTAAGCCTGAACCCTTTGCGTCCAAGCCTGAGAAGCTACTAGGTACTGTAGTAGCTCAGTAGCTACTTAGTAGATCTTAGTACTGTAACTAAAACCTGCTCTACCCCCCACCTTAAAACAAACGATGTTCTTTGTCCTTAAAGTTTCTATTGTTGTTTCTCTCTGTGGCTCGCCCGTGTTTGATCGCAGCTCTAAAGATCCCAGGAGTCACACATGGTGAAGGGACACGCCATCCCAAAACACCTTCTTTTGGCCAACCAGAATGCATATATATATATATATAAATGAGCATGAGGGAATGTGCAGGTTAAACAGTTAGTTTGGAAGGGTTTCATCGCCATCCTCGAGCGGCCGAAGTCATGGCCTCTCGGCCTCAGTTCAGGACCTCCAAGTGAGCTGGAGGAACGGGCCATTGAGGCAGTTGGGGGGGATGAAAACGCGCGAGGAGCGGACGTGAGCTATTGATTTGCTGAAAACTCCTCCATGTGGGTTAGGTTTTCCCGTCTTTGACTGCAGGTTGGACAAAGGTGTTGTCACTAAGAGTTCAGATGTGAACACTGAGCCCTTCACAGGCGCATGCGTGTTGCCCCGCACAAGATCCCTGATTGGGGGCTGTTTGACAAATAGGCCTGATGACATTGAACAAAAATAGCTAACCACACTGAGACTCCAGAATGGAACCTTAGATTCGACCGCAGGCTGCGGGAGAGCTCTTGGATCTCAATCTCGACCACACCGACAAGGTGCTGGGTGGTCCTACGAGCCGGTGCCGAGTCCCAACATGCCCCAACAAGAAGCCGGAGAAGGATGAGAAGGGACCCCAAGCTTCATCAAACGTCATAAGCAGGATGGCATTTGGAAGGTGGACCTGCTTTCATTGTACCATTGTGTATTTGTTTGTTTTAGACTGCTACTCTATGCAAGGATGACGAAGGACAAAAGCAGTGGTGGCATCGGAACGGTGCAGTCAGCATCTCGCACCAGAGTCTTTCCAAAATTGACTGTTGTACCCTTGCAACATGTTCAATGAGCAAGTCATTTTGGTTGGACACGCCACCAACCAACAATGATAATGACAATGCATGACCCCTTAAATGATAAGGCTTTCCACCGTGGCAGCCAACTCTGTTCCTACTGTAACTCCAAGCAGTTGAGTTGGTAGCTTCACCTTGGCGCTCTACCCAGCGGCTGTGCCCCGTCCCCCTGGAGGCTTTGAACCTCTCGGAAGATCCAGCGGCCAACCCGGACAAAGCAGTACCTGGGTCGCAGTGATGGTGAGGAGAGTGCTTTTGGATGAGGATCATCCGTGAAAGTCGCTCATACTCATATCCAAGCAAACGCCATTTGCTTTCAGGGGCATCGCCTTCGTGTCAGTGAGTCGGAGTGTAACTAGCTGATCCCCCTTCCCACCATCTCCCATACGGACAAGCACCATCGTGAATCGTGGGCACATTCTGAGTTTGTCGCATTTGGTGCGGACACCGCAAGGCTTTTGGAAGAACGATGGCTCGCATCAGGATGTTTCTTCGCCCCATAGACTCCTCCCAAGAAAAGGGGCTGGGCAGTTGCAAGAGCTTCTACTTCTATACATACTCTAAGGTTTTGAGTCTTTTAGGCAGCGCTTGCAGGTCATGGACATCGCTGTGGATAAAGCTTCATCAGGGCATTGCATCAACCCCCACGTGAGTAGAGTCTGGCGTGCCTGCCTGCTCCTGTACAACCCTGAGAACTGAGAACAAGATTTGTTGGACCCAAAGCAAGTGGAACAAGAGAGAAAAGCATCCATGGTGCAGATGGTCCAGATGGTGCATTTCAGAATAGTGGAGTGGACACATCCCAGAGGATTTGAGACCCTGCACGTGCACAATTACAATAACTGGAATGTTGGGATAACATAACTATACAGATCTAGCAAGATGCTATTATATAGTAGCTTTCTGTTACTAGTAGCGATGGCCTCCAACCTACTAGCGATGGCCTCCACCAAGTAGCTTCTGAGTTATACAGAATATGGACCCTCGACGTGCCACTTTTGTAACCAACTTCCTTCCGAAAGCTCGACGCCCTGAGGACCGTGCCTCCCGCGCTGCCCGCGAGCTCCTCGCCCGCGCAGACGCCGCGGAGCCCACAGGGCTTCGGGCAGCTCGGTTTGGCCAGATGGGCTAGGAGAAGAACACATTTTTTGTGTTTGCAAAGTGACCAGTTACCTTTTTGATGTGATCTTGCAATTGTCAATTTTGGTGTGTGCTTTTACTGTGGCCCTTTCTTTATGTGTGATCCTTGTTTCATTGTTTAGTGCAATTTGAGATGTCATGAGTAGGGTCCTGGCACCACCCCCGCAACACTAACCGCTTGACTGGTCTTGACAAACATCAAGTCGCGGGGTGGTTCGGGCCCTTTATGGGAATGTGAGGTTGGTCATGGGTGATGATCAACGAGCCAGCTGAGGTTAAGTTGGGTTAAGGTCCGTGTGGTGGGATTGTACTGACCTCATCGGCGGTGCAAGGAGATGTAGGTCGGATTGATGTGGCAAGTCACCGGAGCCATGATAGCAACACTCACAGCCCATCTATCCACGGTCCGACAGTGCACGAGAGAAAGCATCCGAAGACTCTTTGCTTGGAAAACTTGTTGTTTGCTTGGTCATCAACAAAGCTCTGAAAGGTACAGCCGCAACAAGGATCCATGTGCGTCTTCTGGACGAGACAGGCAGCACACCCAGTGGGAATTCAAACGTGCAATGCATGATGCATGATGCATTCCCTACACATTCCCCAGGCTTCCCAGGTGTTCCCACATACTGGTAGTGCTTTGTTTGTTCTTCCTCCACCACTCAGGACGATGGTGAGATTGACCGCTTTTCCTGGCATGGAGGCAGGTTAGTTTTCTGTTGAACCAGGAAGTAGGTTGAGTTTAATATAGTTTGGTGGCCCAAGAAATCTGGGACTTTGCCTGCAAAAGTGAAAGAAAGAAGACCAGTGGAAGTGGAATCACTTGGGTGAATTGGTATAAGCACTTATGGTTGGGTTTTTGCTCCAGTGTTCAGCCTTTTTGGCAAGCGTTGGCGTCGGCCGCATCCAGCTGGCCCGTGAGGCGCACCTTTGCAGGCTTTGAATGGTCAGAGCTCCTTTCGCTGCATTGCCTTGTTTGAGAAACACCATTGGTAGGTTGAATGTCCAAAAACATCCTGGGAATTGTTTCTGCCATGGCGCTCCTCCTGTGTGAGGACCACAAATCACGAGTTTAACAGAATGGAAGAATCCGAGGTTCAGAGCGCAAGACCGACATTTTCGGGTGGAAGTGGACCCTGCAAAAGTTCAAAGAAGTCCCCTTATCTGCCAGCTGCTTGGCGGATCTGAGAGTTGGCTTGCTGAAGCGTTTGATTTACATAGTTCCAAGTTTGATGTCGCATGTACAATCCTTTGTTGATATTCACGTGCCAGAAGCCAGAACGCCCCGAAAGTCATGCGGCCTTTGTTGGGTGTCACCGTTTCGGTTCATTTTGATACTGTAGGTCTGGACTACGGTGACTAGGACTTCACCTGAACATTTAAGTGCAACAGACCACCTAAGGACCCACGGTTGACGTAAGAAATCCTGCACCACTCCCATTCAATGGTAGGTCATGCCGGTCATGCAGGCAGATGGCGCAGGATTCTCGTCAATTGGACCTTTGCAAGCTTTGATGCCGGACCAAGCACTATTTAAAAGGGGGCGCGAGGGTGTAATATGCAGCCATCTTCACAAAAGTGGTGTAGTTTCCATCAACAGTAGTACGCGTGCGATGCTCCAACGAACTGGTCGGATCCGTACGCACAAATACAGGATAATACAGGTGACAATTGGAAAACTTGATTTGAGATATGTTAAGGTGAGATTGTTTCCTCCGCAATCCGGAAACATACGAATTACTTTCGAGAAAGTTGCTGAAGCATGGTCAAGCTTCATTGGATTAAAACCCAACTGCACAGCCTGTCCAACTGTCCAGGTGCTTGCCTCTCCGTGTCCTGCTTCGTTTGTTTGTTCCACAGCTCGGCTGGTGTTTGTGAGTGGTTTCAACAACAATCAGGAGCCGACGCCGCTGCATTAGCGGACTTCATCCGACCTACGCGACGTGCAAAACAGGAAACCAAAATATATTACGATATATATTTAGATATATTTATATAGTTTTACCGATAATTGAATGGAATTGATTATATCCTACAAGCAGTAGGCTTAAGTCGTATCATCCTCTTGAAAGTCGTATCGCAGAGCTGTGCGCTAGGCAAAGTGATAGATTTTAATGTTCAGACATGTTCTGAATTTTGTTTGTACTAGTGTTTTGGGATTGTACGCTGGGATTTAGTGTGGTTTTCTCATCAGATGCTAATTAGGTGTCCTTGCATGCTCGGTTTATTGGCTTTTGTGCAGGCTGCATGATTGCATATACATGTCCCATATGATGTTTTCATATCCTCTATTTGATGAATAATAGGAATTTAGAGCCTAAGTCTTTTTAAGAATGCCAATTGTGTTGCGTAATTAATCTTGAAGACAAGACAACATACCTTCTCTTGTGATGACAAAAAATATATAAATATATATATAATACTATATATATTTAATTGTATATTGGCATTAATATATAAATATATGTTTAATAATTTTTTATATAATTTTGAAACAAATAATAATTGAAAATTATATATTAAATAATTTTAATTTTATATTATATAATAATATATAATATAATTGTTTATTATTTATAAATTATATTAATCGAAAATATAATATATTGACGAATTGATTTTAAAATAATTAATATTAAAATAATATAATTAAATATATATTAAAGATTTTATTAATTTCTATAAATATATATTTAAATATTAAATATATGTTATTGTTTTTTTATAAAAATATATAATATAATTTTTAATTGGAAAATTAAATATAATGAATATATTTCTATATATATTATTTTATTTATATATATATATTGAGAAAAATTTATGATAAAGAAAGGATTTAGATTATTATTTCGTGCGGGTATATGGGGCTAAAATATTATATTTTGCATTTACAACGAAATTTAAAAAATATTGCATACCGTACGAAATTAATATATCGAGGATATTAAAATGAGGTTTATTAAATATTAAATTATTATGAAATTTGTATTTCGAGGCTTACCAAATGTTATACCTGCTACGAAATTTGCATTTCGAGATTTATTAATCGCTGAGGCTTACCAAATATAATGTTTACCACAAAATCTATAAGTACCAAAAAAAATCACGATTTATTATCCCTTTTATGAAATCTTAATTCCTCGACAATTATTATTATATCCAAAATATTATACCGACCACGAAAATTATATATTGAAATTAACTAATTCCAATTCCTTGTATTTATCAAGAAAAATCGATTTGGCCGAGATCGTAAACGCCTAAGGCACCCACCTTAGACCCCTTAAATCGACGAGCCTTCGCAATCGAAATGCATATAGATGATATCGAGAAATATAAATATATTATAACGAATTATAATCCTCGATACCCAAATTTCGTAATAAATATAATATTTAATACCCCTCGAAATAGAAATTTCGTAACAAATGAATTATACAAAAATTTTCGAAATACAAATTTCATATTAATCATAATATTTTAGATTACGTAATAAATATAATATTTAATAGACCTCGAATTTCGGTAATAAATCCAAATTTTTATAATTTTCGAAATATAATATCGATATTAATATAGCAAATAATAGAATTAAAAATACAAATTTCATTAAACATACAATATTTAATACAAATTTCGAAATAAATTCCCATTTATTATCCAATATTCATTTGTATTCGCATTCATATTCATTAATTTTCTATTATATTCCTTTTCATCCATCCTCATTCCCATTCTTATTCATTTATAAACACACTCACTCACCCACACTCTCCCACTCTCCCTCACACTCACTCTCACCCACACTCACTCGCACTCACTCTTACTCACCCACACTCACTAACACCCACCTTCACTTCATCACCACTATCACCTCTCTGCACCCCAATAAATCTCTAGATTTTCCGCTCACAAACCTCACACACACTGTTTGGGGTCTCTTGCTGGGATAATATGTGTTTATCCTTTCCATCTATCTCTATATTTATTTTCTTTTTCTATTCCATACCGCCTTTCCTTTCCGTTAATCGATATTATTGGGATCATAGGGGAAATCGATAAATTTTATCGATAAAATCAATGTTAGGTCTCTCGCCTCGAAAGATAATGCATATTTATCCCCAATCGATACCGATCTCCCCGTTAAAAGAATAAATACAAAGACATAAATAAATTATATAATATTAAATTTCTAATTATTTAAATATATATAATTATTAGAAGATTTATTCCTTAATATATTGTAATCCTAATTATAAAATATAAATTTAATAAATAAAAATATTATTAATTAAGAATTTAATCGAAACAATTACCATAATATATTTAGATTAATATATATTCCTTTGTATTTAATCATTTTAGTATTTTAAATATTTCTAATATTTATTTATGCCATTAAATTAAAAATAATCATTATTTATGCCAATATTTTGCTATAAATTTTATATAAAATTTAAATATATATATATATTATAGAAATAATATATTTAAAAAATATATATATATTATCCTATTATTTTAAAATCCAAATATCGATATATCTTCATATATATATAAATAATGTATTATCGATTTTAATACTTGAGGCCAACGGGGGGGGCGAAAGCTAGCGCTCCAGAATGGGAAAATGGAGGGCAGCGAGGTAGGAAAAAACACGGCGCTCTTTTTGGAGGCAGGGATAAAGAGTCCTTTATATGTGGCTCTTTGCCCGGATCCTCCTACGAGAGAAGAAAAAAAAGAGAGGCGGAAAGACCAGAGACAGAGAGGAGAAAAAGAAAAAACGTAAGCGAGTGCGGCCGCAAGATACGCAACGCTAACCGCATGCCAAAGAGCGACGACAAAACGGAGTCGAACTTACGAAGAGGGAGGAGGGAAGGAGGGAAGGAAGATAGGAGGAAGACAAGGAAAAGGAAAGGGGAGGTGGGGAAAGGGGAGGTAAAGAGACCTAAAAAATCAGGGGTTAAGATTTTTACCCGATCAAAAAAAACCTTGTTATCGCAAGAGTAACTCCAGCTAGCTTCACTAGCTTTCGTAATATGTGACTCTTTACCCGAATCCTCCTGCGAAAGAAGAAAGAGAAGAAAGAGAAGAGAAACGGAAAGACGAGAAACAGAGAAGAGAGAGAAAGAGAGAGAAAAAGAGGAGAGAAAAATGAAAGAGATAAGAAAGATAAGAAAAAGATAAGAGAGACAGTAAGACAGTAAAAGAATGAAAGAGTGAGAGTGAAAGTGAGCGAGTGCGGCCGCAAAATACGCAACGCTAACCGCATGCCAAAGAGCGACGACAAAACGGAGTCGAACTTACGAAGAAAGAAGAGGGAAGGAAAGTAGGAAGAAGATAAGGAAGAAAAGAGGGGAACTGGGGTGGGGAGAGGGGAGGGGGGGAGAGGGGGGGGGGGGATAGGGGAGGGGGGGTCTTCGACCTGAAAAATCAGAGGTTAAGATTTGCACCCGGTCGAAAGAAACCTTGTTATCGCAAGAGTAATTCCATCTAGCTTCGCTAGCTTTCGTGATTTCTATATTTTTTTTTGACATTCTAATTTTAAAAAATCCATTATCCATATTAGAAAATATCAATTTTAAATAAATTCATATTTATATTATATTAAATATATATATATTTGTAAATAATCAATATCCAATCGAATATTATTCATATATATATATATAATATATGTTTATTAAATTTTCAATATTCTTCTGGTATCCAATATATATCCGATGATTTTGTTTGGATCTCGTGAAAGTGTCGAAATTGTTTTTCTTTGTAAATGTCCGTCGTGAGCAAATATAAGTCTTTAGTATCCCCCCTCCTCATGAAGAGATTTATTTTGATGTCTTTGGAATGTTCCTCATAAATAATTTTGTTCTTTGTGAATTTCCTCATGAAGAGATTCAAATCTTTGGAATCCCCCTCAGGAAGAGATTTAGTCTATGGGATATCTTCTCATGAAGAGATTTAATCTTGGTGATCTCTCCTGATTGATCATTCCCAAAAATTAAAATTTCAGATATTCTCCGAACAAGAAACATTCTGGGGGGGGCTATTGATCCACCGTTGACATTCAACAATTCAATATATTTATTATTGATGCATAAGTTCAAGCAACTCATTACAATATTTTTGGTCAACGATCAATTGACATCGTTTGAATGAAAACGAAATGTCACAATTGAACGTGATGGGACCTGGCCAGTGGCGCCGCATTCTTCACTCTTCCACAAAAAGCCGTAGCTCCCAAAGAGTCAAACAATTAAACATGGGACTGGAATATATGCAAATGTTTAGCTGCCAATCCAGCCAATATATGACTACTACATTGGGGTGGTTTCGGGGGCCAATGTAGGCCTGCGTTGGCGCGGCTCTTCCAGCCACCTGGGGTGGTGGCATCTTCATTCGAAGCGATGCACGGTTTTGGATGGCTTCGATGCACGGACAAGCACTCGGGCATGAAAAGGCCATGAGGAGAAATTGTATTTGAAGGGCCTGCAAGAAGAACTCAATGTTGTAGTCTTCCTGTCGGGCTCGACTTGGGCTCAAATGATCCGCAAATTTCCAAAAATATACAAACATGTTCTAATTTCATGATATTGTAATGTATAAAATCATGATCCATTCATCCATCCACATCCCATACCTGGTTCAGCACCACGGTCACCACACTCCCGTCAGGGTTCATGAAGCCAGTGGCCTACATGATCAGTCAGTGGCAAGTAGGTTGCAGCACGAAGGGCCAACTCGTCTTTGTAGTGGTTGATGCCGTAGAACTGTAGAGGCATACGCTGCATAGCAGCGTCGTAGCCCCTTTCGTAATGCCAAGAACATGTGAGGCACTCTCCTCAAGCCCTCTCATCTGTTCACGCTCCCACTGGTGGAACTTGCCTTCAGCTTGTCCCGATTGCTGGCGACCGCAATGCGCTGAGCTCCA